AAAATATTCTCATTTAAAACTAATTCCCATTTTGCTCCGTTATGTTTATAACTTTGCTATAGTTAATAAAAAGAATAATAAAAAAGAGAAAAGGGAAATCATTAACATATTTTAGATATGAAACTTGTAAAAAAAGAACTTTACATAATTCATAATGGCAAGTATTCGATCTATGGCATCTTGTTCGTTGATTAATACTGAAGTTGTTGCGGTCACATAACCACCTGAAAATATTTAGAAAATTTTTGAGAATTCATTCTTTTATAAAATATGCAAAAGAAATAATAACGTCATTAACCTTGGGGAAAATATTCTTCCAAGGTAAAGGAATTTTGAGATTTTGGATCGATTCCATATCCAAAGAATTTACAATTAGGTAATCGTTTGAGATTTATTAAATTAGGAATAAAGAGAACTTGTTTTCCAAAAAGATAATGAATCTATTATATAAACTTATTTATTAGCTAAAAAAATATTAACAATACAATACAATATTAACAAAATATAACAATATAGAAATATTTCGCTTGCCAAAACCAGTTCAATTTCATCGTTATAATCTTCATAAAGAATAGCCCCCAAGTGTTGTATTATATTTCTCATATCTTTAACTTCAAAACAATCGTTCGAATCTGGAGAAAAGTCCATATATTTAATACCAGGATTTTTAAAGATTTTCAAAATATCATGACAATTATAAATATAAATGAAAGTCCCAACATTCCAATTTAATGGAACATTTTGAATAGTTTCATTGTCAATGATTATATTACTCATAATATTACAAGGAAAAGTTTTTTCATAAAGAATATATGGAACTCTTGGACGTTTAGATAACTTTAGTCTTTGAACTATTTTGTCATTAGTGGGAAAAACGAACCAACATGATGTATTTTCGTCGTTTAACCAAATTATTCCAACCTAAAATAAAGTAAAAATCAAAAATAAAATTAAATAAAAAATAAGTTAAATAAATTAATTAATTTTAAATAAAAGAACTTAACAATATCATTTTCTTTCATATAAATATATTCTGCATTCACGTTACGTAGAGTAAGAGGTTTTTCAACAGGATTAATTATAAATAAGGATTCTCGTTCGTTAATTAATTCTAACGCGTATGGTAATTTTATATGGTCCTTCATCCATAAATAATCCTTTTTCTTAATCTCATTACTATATATCAAATATATTTATATAAATATGTATATAAATCATCAAAAAATTTTAATTTAACATAATTAAAGATTGCCTACAATTTAACGAGATTATTACATCGTCCAGGAAAAGGTTTCACGATAACTGTAGCGATATTTTGAATTGGATCCGCCTTGACGAGACTTCCTTTCCACTCTCTTTAATTTAATATTATAATTTAATAAAACTCAAAAAGGAATTATTTATTTATAATAATATTAATACTTACAAAGCTGATTCTTGTACTGTGTCTTATTTTTTTTTTATAAAAAAAAAATATTTTAATATTATTAATGTTGAAAATTCTATATGAATTAAGAGTTTTTTTTTTTGTTTAAATTTACCATTAACATTCAGCGCGGACATTACTTGTTGCAATTGTAATTCCTTATTCATTTTCAGTTTTCTTCGTTCCCTTTTTTTTTAAACAATAAGAGAATTTGAATTACTGAATTTATTTATCGCGATCCGACCAATTATTTAACTTACTCTTTGACTTTTTCATTAAAAGCTTTGCTCCGTTCAATAGATTGTGATTCATCTGGTAAACTAAATTTAACCGATTTTCCTGTCTTTTTCAATTTATTTGAATTTGCATTTGTTTTCGGTGGTGTATTACTGTTTTTCAAAGAAGAATTTTTTGTTGCCATTGTAGAACTTTCTGTCATTGTAATATCAGTTATATCATTTTTATTATCTTTAGCATTAGATAATGTTTGCCGTGAATTATTAATTTTGCTTGCCCGAGATATTGATGGAGTGGTAGCATTATTCGAAGCATTGTTCGAAGAATTATTCGATACCCTTAACTTCTTCATTTGTTTGGCCAACAATTCATTATTACTAAATTTTTTTTTAAAAAATTTTGCCGATAAAATTAATTGATAGTATTTACATTCTTCTATTAATAAATCATAAAAATCTTTTTTTTTAACTAACATTTTAATAGGCAATCCAAGACTTTTAAATCTAGGTTTTAACTTTTTTGGCGACATTTTATGACAATTGTAAAGAATGGAAAGAATTGAAAGAATTTCACAGATATTTATTATTTTTATAAATTTTAAATTATTTCATGACGTGTCATAAAATAAATTTACAATTTTGAGGGTTTCAAATACTATTAAATATCTAAATATCTACAGACAAGATTTTTCATTTTCTTATTTTCTTAGTAGTCCCTCCCTCTATTAATTAGGAAAAATTTATTACCATATGACGGAAAAATTTTTCGTTATAATAAATAATCATCCATGTGATTTATAATCTATGATAACTCATAAATTATAACTTATATAAATACCTAAAGAAATTCTCCCTAAAAATGTCGCCC